TTTTGCAGGCGGCTGCAGATGGGTGCTGAGAAACATGCTCTGTGCCTCTTAGGGCTCCCTGCAGTCTTTGTGCATGCACACACACACTCACATCTGCTCATTGTAACGATGGGGATTATGCTAGTTGCACATAATGCTTGAAAGCTGCTGCTTCCTGTATTTTGTTATCAAGAGAGAATGTTTCCCCCCCCATTTTGAGTGTCTCGGTATTGCTTCTGAAGTTCTCTTGTGTGTGTGCGTTGAGCGATTGTGCTGTTCAGGATTCTCCTATTTAAATGATAGGCCTCACAAAGCTGGTATGTTTTGTGTCCTGCCATTGTTCCGTCTCATGTAGGAAGAATTATTTGAAAACCCTTGTTCTGTCGATGTTGAGTCAGAAGATTTCCAGAGCCTGCCCCCTGAAGTAAAGCACGAGATCCTTACTGACATGAAAGCATTCACAAAAAGAAGAAGAACGCTGTATGAGGCAATGCCTGAGGTAACTCACAGACTTTTCTTTGCCTTTTCTAGTCAGCAGAGCTTGGCCGCTATTATAGCTGGTGGGAAATCTCTTATTGTTCTGAAAAATATATGACAATGCCATTCTCAATATGTATACACTCGAGTTGTCTGGTCAAGAATGGGCCAGATGTTGAATACACTTTTAACCTCTTAAGAGAGCCAGTATGGTGGAATCGTTAGAGTGTCTGACTAGAATTTGGGAGACCCAAGTTCAAATCTCCACTCTGCTGTGGAAGTATGCTGGCTGGCCGTGGCAAACTCTCACCTTACCCAACCTCACAGGGTTGTTGTGAGGATAAAATGCCTTTCACTTGCTGAGTTTTTCTGCCACAGCAGTGGCACAACTTGCCAAGTGAACTCAGAAAGCGTTTAAAGAGACTGTGGTCTCTTTAAATGCTCCCCCCTCCATTGAAAGTAATGGAGGATGGGGGTACCTTCTTTGGGGACCCATAGAATTGGACCACCTGGTCCAAACTTTTTAAAACTTGGGGGGGATTTTTGAGGAGAGGTACCAGCAGCTATGCTGCAAATTTGGTGCCTCTACCTCAAAAAACACCTCCCCCAGAGCCCCAAATCACTCTCCATTATACCCAATGGGGACCAATGGTCACAGAAGAACGCCATGCCCCATAGGGTATAATGGAGCCAGAAAATTTGGGTTTCCCAAATATTTCCTGGATCTGAATACCATACCAGTACTGGGATTTGGTAATATCGGGAAATACCAAAAAATACCATCTGTTGAGGGGTTTTTTGGACACCCCTAGTGGAAACCCATTGTCTTGAAAACATTTTTTCACTTTTCCATAGTAGACAGAGTGCCTGTTATCCCTTATACATTCATATTTTCATCCAGCCTGTTAGATACACTTTCAATAAAGGAAACTAAGGGATGCATACAGTAGCTTTGTCAAACTGAGTGTGTGCTGATGAAGGATTTGGAAACTGGTTTCCCCCGTCTAAATCCCACTAGGCTCCTTCCAAATATGGGCACCATTCAAAGATGCAGACCCTCAGCTGCATTGCTAGGAGGCAATATTGTCATTTGGCAAGATTCCCTTGCGTCTCTGATGCCATATTCCTCTTTGGAGGCATGGCGTCCTTCTGTGACAGATGAAGCGGAAATGTTCCAAAGTGTTTGACCCTTCAGAAGTCAGCTACTAATTTCCAGAAGGTTTTGCACATTAACTTTGATCAGTTTAAGTAGTAAGTATCAACCCATGGTATCAAAAAAAGAAAGCAATGTTTTATTTTAAAACGAGTGCCCCCCCTTCCTATTTTTAAAAAATATTTCCTCGTATTCTCTCAGTAAACATATTTGTCTTGGAAATATGGGAAATAAAACTCATTCAGAGGTTTGATCTATTTATTTATTTTTAATTATAGGGGTCCAGTGACTTCTCCCAGTATCAGCTGAAAGGACTGCTTAAGAAAAGCAGCCTGAATCGACAACTAGAGGATGTGGAAAAGGAGATGAACCAGCAGTACTCTGGCCAGATCCAGAGCCAGTATGAGAATGACGGGGGCTTCTTGAAAGAAGTCGAAACCAGGAGGGTCGTGTCTGAAGACACCTCTCACTACATCTTTTTCTTTGAGAGAGCCCCCCCCCCCCCGGCATTCATTCTTCCGCTGACTTCTGCATTTGCATTTTAGTGTGCACATCTTTCTATTTGTAATATTTCTCTCTGTCCGTAATGTTTTTATCCCCCCTTTCTGCCTCCCACGCCTTGACCTTGATAGCCCAGGCTGGCCCAATCTCATCAAATCTCGGAAGCGAAGCAGTGTCAGCCCTGGCTAGTCTTTGGATGGGAGATTCTGCATTTGCATTTTAGTGTGCACATCTATTTGTAATATTTCTCTGTCTGTAATGTTTTTATCCCTCCTTTCTGCCTCTCACGCCTTGACCTTGATAGCTTAGGCTGGCCCAATCTCATCAAATCTCGGAAGAGAAGCAGTGTCAGCCCTGGCTAGTCTTTGGATGGGAGATCACTAAGGAATACCAGGGTTGTGATCAATGTTCCCTCTAAGCTGCGGAGTCTTGTGTGCAAAAATTCTACTTTGTGAGCTACTGGGCATGAAAGCTGTGAGGCAGCGATTTGGCTGCTGCATAAATCAGTTTGCCCTGGAGCCCTCCTTCCTGAGCTGAGACAAAAATCTGTGAGCTGGAGGCTAAAAAACTGTGAGCTGGCTCACGCTAACTCAGCTTAGAGGGAGCACTGGTGGTGATGCGGAGGCAGGCAACGGCAAACCACCTCTGAAACATCTTTTGCCCTGAGAGCCCTACAGGGTCGCCATAAATCAGCTGCGGCTTGGCAGCACTTTCCTTCCTTTCCATCTGCCTCCCACACTTTATCCTCAGCGCAGCCTGGAGAGGTAGCTTAGGCTGTGGGACAGAGGAACTGACTGACACGGGCACAGGCTGTGTTCTGTGGCTGAGTGGAGGCTCGAACCCTGGTGTCTCCCCTGTCTTAGAAGCTGGAGTCTGTGGCTCTAGAACCCAGTGGGGCTAAATATAGAGGCAATGATGTTCTATTGAAAAAGAAAATGCAGCCTTCGAGTTAAGGTGTATCGAAGGAGGCCCTGACCTGGATAGGCCCAGGCTAGCACAATCTCATCAGTTCTTAGAAACGAAGCAGGGACAGCTGTGAGTGGGGCTAAATACAGATGCAGTGATGTTCTATTGAAAAAGAAAATGCAGCCTTCGAGTTAAGGTGTAATTGAAGGAGGCCCTGACCTGGATAGGCTCAGGCTAGCACAATCTCATCAGTTCTTGGAAACGAAGCAGGGTCTGCTGTGGTTAGTATTTGGACGGGACGAAGGACCACCAAGGAAGTCCAGGCTCGTGGCACAGAGGCAGGCAATGGCAAACCACCTCTGAACGTCTCTTGCCTTGAAAAGCCTGCGGGGGCTGCCATAAGTCAGAAGAGACCCGACGGCACTTTACCCACAGATGCACACCTATCGAAGGATGCTAGAATAATCAGTATGTGGAGGAAGTGACAGGCGATGATTTCTTATGGGACTAAAGAGCTTCTTAGAGATATTTTGTTGGGAATGTGAAGTTGTATAGTTTCACTTATGAAACTGGAGGAGAGTTAAAGGGAAAAAAAAAGCAACCCATTTTTACTAAACTTGTATTGAAGTGTGAGCAAAGAGTGGGTTAGCAGTGCAGACTTTAATCTGGGAGGACTGGCTTTTGATTCCCCACTCCTCCACATGTGGCTGCTGGGTGACCTTAGGCAAGCCACGGTTCTCTCAGAGCTGCTTTCTCAAGAGCAGTTCTCAAAAGAGCTCTCTCAGCCCCATCTCCCTCACAGCGTGTCTGTTGTGGGGAGGGGAAGAGAAAGGAGATTGTAAGCCACTTTGAGACTCCCAGGTGAAGGGCAGAGTATAAATCCAGTCTCTTCTTCTTATTTCTTCCAGGTATCCAGTCCAAAGAAGGTGTCTCCAGAGATCTGGCAACGACGTCTTCTGGCTATTCTTCTGCAAGGCCTCAAGGTTCAAAGCACAGTACTGAGACCAACAAGACTTCAGTCAGTGTAACGCCACCTCCATGTGACTTCTTGAAGACTGAATCAACTAACAGTACTGTCCCTGCGCCACCTTCTCCCAGAACCATGCGGGCCATCCAGGCTGCCATGATGGGAAGCAGTTCAGAAGAGGAGACTGAAGATGACAGGAACCATCAGCTTGAGTTAGGTAAAGCCAGGACTGGCCCTGTTGCGGATACACGCAGTGTCTCACCAAGAACACTGAGGGCCATTGAGGAAGCTTTGTGTGAGGAGGAAGAGGAGGTTCAACCACCTGGGTCCAGGAATGTAAGTCAAGCAGGACGAGCTCTCGTGAGCAAGCTTCTTTCCAGTAGTTCAGATGAGGAGGACTGGAAACCTGAAGAACAGAGCGGAAAAGAACTCCGAGTTCTGCCTACTACTGGGGAATCAGAAAATGAAACCCTTAACTCAGAGAGTAAACTGGACAAAGAGAAGTACATGTTGGAAACAGATATGAGTATACCTGAAGAGGCATATGACCCTTCTCTGGATAAAACGCGCTCTTCTGATTCAGGTGAAAAAGGAAGAGATGAGGAAAAACAGACTTCCAAAATGGACTCAGGTTCTCTGCGAGATGGTGACGTGGTGCTGCAGCCACTGAGGCCCTCGACACAGTCGGTTCCCTTAAGCCCTTCGAACTTCACAGATTTGGCCCAAAATGGAAAAGTTGAACTTTCAGGGGCATCACTTCAGCAGCCAGACAAGGATGCTTTTGACAGACAGAGTGGGCTTTCATTTACTCCAGGACCAGCCAGTCTTACTGAGGAAAGAATGGAAAATCATTCTCGGTCTGAAGAGAGCGATTCTGATGGTACGTCGGCTTTACATATGTAATGGCAAAAAATAGAGGTAGCACTGAAAAATTATACATATGATGAGGGAACATGGGAGTGATTTAGAGGAACTGCTTAGTAAAGGAAGCTGGGAATTATGGATCTTAGAGAAGCCATTAACTTTACCTCATATTTTAATGTTGTGAAATATTTTAGTTTTAATTGAAGTGATCAGTAAGTATCATCCTCTGGTATATATAATTCTATTTTGGTCATGGACTCCCCTGAACATTCCAACACGCTCCAAAATCAGTTCGCTCTCTGATCTGTCATTCAGAGGGTCTCCCTATCCACTGGCTGCTTTGCCTGAGTCCTGCCTCCAACATTCTAAACAGTTTGCTGTTCCTCCCCCCCCCGCCCACAGCCAGCCAGAACACAGAGGTCATTTGCACATAGGGCTGCCAAGTGGGAGCGGGGGATGGGGAAACTCCCGCTTTGGAGGCCCAATTTCCACCGCCATGGAATCGGGCTCCGGGGGGAACTCCGCCCCCCGAAGCGCAGTCATGTCGCTCACGTTGGGGGTGTGGCCCAGATCTGGGCCACGCCCTCAACGTGAGCGACATAGCACTTCACTTTCTGTGATGTGCTGGCGGCGCGTGCGCGCACCGCCAAGGAACTCCCAGAGCCCAGCGAGGCTCCCCCACTGCCAAGGTAAGAAGACTTGGCATATGTGGCCTGATTCGCCTTTGCCTCGGAACACAGAGGTCGTTTTCATATGCGGCCTCA